ACCAAGTCAGGGATTGAATTTCCAACACCAGCGCATCAGTCCGATCACGACAGTACCAATCACTGTTCACCTGTCGCAATGCGGCACCACATAACCATTTCCTGCATTTTTCTGGCATTCTACCTAGGCCAGAAATATGTTTTTACATGCAGATGTAGCCCACAGAGTGCCCAATCAGAAGGAAGTATTTTCATCTCTCTGCAGCTAATATTTTAGCCTTTATGAGAGATTAAATCTATTCCTTTGATCTGCTGATATACTTTAAAGCTCCCAGACACATCAGAGTCCCCCCCTGGTGTCATGAAGCTGAAACGTCTGCGTTCCTCTTTTAACTTTCAGCAAGGTGGCAAAGTCTGATTATATATATATATAGACAAATCTTATTGGCACTTAGGTGTCACTTCCAGTCTGGAAGCTGCTCTGTCTTTTCAGATGCTAATGGGGCACCAGGGGCTAATGGAGCACCAGGGGCGGACTGACAACTCATGGGGCCCCCGGGCAATAGGGGATCATGGGGCCCCTGTGTCCTCACCCACACTTAAACTACACCAAAAAAAAGCTTATGAAAGGTACCAGGGGCATCTCATGGGGCCCCCTACTGACCCCGGGCCCTCGGGCAGTGCCTGAGTTCCCAAATGGTCAGTCCGCCCCTGGTTAGCACATGTCTCTGAGTACCTATGACTGAATATTTCTTTAATAACAAGGAATGAAACTAAATTTACAATTACATATTGCTACTGATCACATCTCAGTATAATCACTTGAATCCCACATCTACGTTACAACATCAATACAGATAATAATAAGATTATCTTTGTAGTGTATGTACTTGTTTGATTCATGTGTAGATCCAAGGGATGACCTTTAATCTGAACATGACATCAGTTTAAGAAACCTTACAAGTAAAACAAAAAAAAAACTCCCTTCTTCCTTAAGCTCTTATTTTTCTTTTCAAAGCTTTATAGGTTGCTACAGTCCACTGAACAACAAAATACAGTAACAGAACACTATTCATATAATATGGAGGGCTGCATATGTATATCTGAAAAACTAGGTGATTGGAGTAGGACCAGAAACGTTGGGTCAATGTCTATATGCTACCAAACATTTAGGCTGGATTCACACTTGAGCATAGCATCTTTAAGCGTTTTTAGTGCTTTTTTTTGTGTGCAATTTTTGTACATTTTTGCGTGTTTTTTATACAGCATTTTCCATGCGTCTTTGAGCTTTGGAATTTTTTTTATTAGCTGATAGAGAAAAATATAATCTGTTACATAATTTGTTGCTAGTTTTTTTTCAGCTCTTTTTTAGATTTACCATCAGCTTTTATTTTTTTAATATTTTTTACTTCTTAGCTTTTTTTGTTAGGGTAAGGGGTTAGGGTTAAGGTTAGGATAAGGGTTAATTTATTAATTGTCTTCTTATTATTTATTTATTCTTAGGGTTAGGGTGTTAATAGTAATAATAATAAAAAAATAAATAAAATAAATTAACATGTAATAATAAATAAATAATAATTAGCCCCTAACTTTAACCCCCTACCCCTCAAAAAAAAAAAATAATAATAATATTGATAATAAATAAACATCCTAATACAAAATAAATACATATATTATATACACATACACTATATTGCCAAAAGTCTTGGGACGCCTGCTTTTACACGTACATGAACTTTATTGGCATCCCAGTTTTAGTCCGTAGGGTTCAACATTGAGTTGGCCCACCCTTTGCAGCTATAACAGCTTCAACTCTTCTGAGAAGGCTGTCCACAAGGTTTAGGAGTGTGTCTATGGGAATGTTTGACCATTCTTTCAGAAGCACATTTGTGAGGTCAGGTACTGATGTCGGACGGACGATAAGGCCTGGCTCGCAGTCTCTGCTGTAATTCATCCCAAAGGTATTCTATTGGATTGAGGTCAGGACTCTGTGCAGGACAGTCAAGTTCCTCCACCCCAAACTCACTCATCCATGTTTTTATGGACCTTGCTTTGTGCACTGGTTAGCAGTTATGTTGGAACAGGTAGGGGCCATCCCCAAACTGTTCCCACAAAGTTGTGAGCATGAAATTGTCCAAAATGTCTTGGTATGCTGACGCCTTAAGAGTTCCCTTCACTGGAATTAAGGGGCCAAGCCCAACCCCTGAATAACAACCCCACACCAAAATCCCCCCTCCACCAAAGTTTGCATTTGGCACAGTGCAGTCAGGCAAGTACCATTCTCCTGACAACTGCCAAACCCAGACATGTCCATCGTACTGCCAGACAGAAAGGTGATTCACCCTCCAGAGAACACGTTTCCACTGCTCTAGAGTCCAGTGGCGGCGTGCTTTCACCACTGCATCTGATGCTTTGCATTGCACTTGGTGATGTAAGGCTTGGATGCAGCTGCTTGGCAATGGAAACCCATTCCATGAAGCTCTCTATGCGCTGTTGTTGTGCTAATCTGAAGGCCACACAATGTTTGGAGGTCTTTAGCTGATGACTCTGCAGACAGTTGGCGACTTCTGCGCACTGTGAGCTTCAACAGCGCTGAACCCATTCTGTCATTTTACGTGGCCTACCACTTCGTGGCTGAGTTGCTGTTGTTCCCAGTTGCTTCCACTTTGTTATAATACCACTAACAGTTGACCGTGGAATATTTAGTAGCAAGGAAATGTCACGGATGGACTTATTGCACAGATGGCAACCTATCACGGTACCACACTTGAATTCACTGAGCTCCTGAGAGCGACCCATTCTTTCACAAATGCTTGTAGTAGCAGTCTTCATGCCTAGGTTCTTGATTTTATACACCTGTGGCCATGGAGGTGATTGGAACACCTGAATCCAATGATTTGGATTGTTGGATATTTATTTATTTACATAATTCTTTGCATTCCCTATTATGACGCTGGTGGCCCAGAGGGAGCACTTTCTTCCCACTCACTGCTGCTGTTGTTGCAGTTGCATAGTCATAACATACCTTTTCTGACCGTATAATTTGTTAACCGTTGCTATTTGGTTATTTTCATTTTATCAGTGTTTTGCTTTTATGTGTTAACTGGGAATATACCTCGTAAACCTTCATTCTGTGGTTGGCTCTATTGAACAAGCCTAATATAGAGTTGTTACAATTTAGAACTGTGTCTTTTGAATTCTTATTTCATACTGTGTCAGAAGTGTTTGGGAGGCTTGCAAGGCCAGGGCAACCACTGGGAACAAGCATTATCAAGAGGCCCCTGTGGAGCTAGTGCTACACTTACCTGCTCTGTGCAGTGGTTTTACACAGGGCAGCCTGGATCCTTCTATTCTCGGTTCCCCCGCTGTCTCCCCTCCTGCCAAATACCTCCATAGCAAGTAGCTTGCTATGGGGGAACCTGTGCAGGCTTGCTCCCGAGCCGCTGTTTTGTGTGTTCATTCACACACAACTGTGGCTAGGCCCCCGGCCACTGCTCTCTCCTCATTGGCTTACTGGCTGTAATTGACAGCAGTGGGACATCTGTGGCTCTCGTGCACATCGCTGGATTGAAAGGGGGCTTAGGCGAGCTGGGGGGCTGCTGCATAGAAGGCATGAAGGTAAAAAAAAAATCAGACTTTACAACCACTTTAAGAATATTAGTTGCTTGGCTGTTTGGTTTCAATAATTTTCAGGTCTGCAGATCAGGAAAACAGAAAATTGTATAATAATTCATATTTACCCATAGTTTTCCTCTCTTGGTGTCACTCCAGGACACCAAATTTGTGGTAGTATGATGCCATGTTGGTGCCAGGAAAGTGAAAGTGAAATCAGAACTCCTGATCTGTATATTCAGAAATACTAGAGCCAATAGATTACCATGCCAGGCAACTAGAATTCTCAGGAATCAGCAATGGCCTCTAAATGCTTTCATTACAGGGTCTCTTAAAGCAGGCTTTCTGTTCTTCTACAGGCTGAACTCTTTATTGGAATGTTTCTTTCAAACCATTGCCTCCATAAGCATACACAGAAGAATGTGTTTATTACTGAGTTGTGTATTATGTTGGACGTTCTTTGAAAATGTGGTTTTACATGGCAACAATAGGTCAGAACAGCAGCAGTTTTTATACATTATAATTCAAGATATTACTGAAATATGAAAAAGCAAAGCAGGGCTTTTGTAACTTTTTTTTTCCTGACAGAAAGCTGAGACTGAACACTGTGTGCTTCTGTGAAGCTTAAATGTGATCTGACCTAAAATTTACCAAATCCATTCCTTTCAGAAACTAAGCAGGATTTAACCTAGCTCTCTGCAAAGGGTGTTTATCCAGGGACTTCTATGAAAGCCATAATCTGCTGCAAGTGCTCCAGTGAAATAATTGGAACAGGATTCTGACCTTTCACACTCCAAGTTAACTTTTTATTCATAAGCGCAACATACAACTAAAAACCTCCAGACAGAAGGTTATAGAACATTACCGAGTTCCAAAATAGTGTCAATATTTCTTTTAAAATGTACGTAAAGGCAAAAAAGTTTTTTAAATTATTATTTTTTTTAAATTTGTGGTAGAGTAGGCTCAGTGGGGTCTGTGTCCTCTCCGAGAGGTTTCCCTTAAACGGTAAGTTCATCTTTGGAATGAAATGCACTATGCAGTCAAGGGACCCAACGTAAAATTTGAGTTTACTAACTAAATGCAAAAACAAATATTTAATATACTGTAGCCTACCAATCATTAGTTGTGGTGGCTGCATTAGTTTTCTTTTTTCAAGCTTTTATTCCTTTATTTTCTTGTGGTAATTGTCCATTAACAAACCTCCTATCCTGGGGTGGCTACATTCACACCTCTATTGTATCTATGGAGAAGCAGTATAGCCATCTTTGGACAGCAACATTGTCAATCAGTGGAACAGATGGTGTTGGATGGGATAATAGATTTAGATGGACATTACATTAATGATTCGTGTCTCCTCTGCCCTATAGCAGAAATACTGCTACAGGGCAGTGTGCAAAATCACCCATACTGGGTGCCGGGTAGGAACTGCCAATCACCGAGTCCCGGACCATGATTACTCACCAGCACCCAGTGATAGCCAAGTATCTCCGACTGCGAAGAGACCTGTGTGTAAACAATACAGATCTCTCCCGTCAGCTCCTGCACACTGCTTTGTATGGCTCTGCATAGCAGAGCCATACAAAGCAGTGTGCTTACAGCAAAACACAGACACAGTAAAACAGCACACAGTTAACCCTTTGATTGCCCCACATGTTAACCCCTCCTGTCTAGTGCCATTAGTACAGTGTCAGGGCTTTTTATTACCACTGATCACTGTATTGGTGTCAGTGGGGATGTCAGTGACACCAAATCAGTTCCCCCCAGTGTCAGAATGCCCGCCTATAAATCTCTGATCACCGCCATTACTAGTAAAAATAAAAAAATAAAAAAATTCCAGTATCTATACCGCCATTTGTAAACGTTATAACTTTCACGTAAACCAATTAATTTACACGTATTGGGATTTTGTATCAGGCAAGTAGCAGAATACATTTTGGCCTAAATTTATGACGAAATTAGATTTTTTTACATTTTTTTACTGGACATGTTTAAAAGCAGAAAGTTAAAAATATTGTTTTTTCTCTGAAAATTGTCGCTTTTTTTGTTTATAGCACAAAAAATTAAAACCGTACAGGCAGAGCCATACAAAGCAGTGGGCTTACAGCAAAACACAGACACAGTGAGCTTAGTAAAACAGCACACGGTTAACCCTTGATCGCCCCACATGTTAACCCCTTCCTGTCTAGTGCCATTAGTACAGTGTCAGTTCTTTTTATTAGCACTGAACACTGTATTGGTGTCAGTGGGGATGTCAGTGACACCAAATCAGTTCCCCCCAGTGTCAGAATGCCCGCCTATAAATCTCTGATCACCGCCATTACTAGTACAAAAAAAAAAAAAATTCCAGTATCTATACCGCCATTTGTAAACGTTATAACTTTCATGTAAACCAATTAATTTACACATATTGGGATTTTGTATCAGGCATGTAGCAGAATACATTTTGGCCTAAATTTATAACGAAATTTGATTTTTTACATTTTTTTACTGGACATGTTTAAAAGCAGAAAGTTAAAAATATTGTTTTTTCTCTGAAAATTGTCGCTTTTTTTGTTTATAGCACAAAAAATTAAAACCGTACAGGCGATCAAATACCACCGAAAAGAAAGCTCTATCTGTGTGAACAAAGGACGTAAATTTCATTTGGGTGTAGCGTTGCATGACCATGCAATTGTCAGTTAAAGTAACGCAGCGCTGTATTACAAAAAATGGCCTGGTCAGGAAGATGGTAAAAGCTCTGGAGGGCGAGTGGTTAAGGCCCAACTCCAGGTAACACTTATTAGGCAGTTATGGTTATCCTTTTTGGATAAAGGTTTTCTATAGATGAATAAAAGCTAATCATTGTAAGCACTCCTGTCAGTTTTGCAAATGGTTTGTCTCAACCCTCTAATTGCCACCTTTGCTGGACAGCTTGGTCTGTTAACGGTAGTTGAAAACATCCGACTTACTGGCAGGATCACCAGGTAATAAAACTATATCACTGTGTGAATGCTACTGACAGATTGTATCATATATGTCAGTTTTAGTTTCAGACTGAAGTTGGTTCACCCAGAATCTCATGCACCTGTGCACGGTAGCTAATCAGCTTCTAACCTCAGCTTAGTCAATTCAGCTTTAGTCCTCATGCACACGGGATGATTTGATAACGCTGGTAACATTAGCTGTGTAAAGTCACGTTAAAATGTGAGTTTTTCAGCTTGTTTGCATTAGCACTTAGCAGCGTTTTCCCACCTGTTTCCATGTTTGTGGTTTTTAGCGTTTTTTTTAACCCCAAAAAAATGTTTTGTTTTGGTCAAAAAAAAGTCCAAAATGCCGGTTTGCAGCATTTTACCACGTTTTTCAGCATTAGAGCATTTTACAGCTAAAAAAACTCCTCTAGAAACCCACTAGTCCTGTGCATGGACACATAGGATAACATCACAGTGGCTAAATGGTTAGCACTTCCGCCTGGCAGTACTACGGTCATTGGTACGAATCCCAACCACCTGCCTGGAGTTTGCATGTTCTCCCTGTGCCTGTGTGAGTTTCCTCCGGGTACTCCGGTTTTCTCCCACACTCCAAAGACATGCTGGTAGGTTAATTGGCTCCTGACTAAATTGGCCCTAGTATGTGTATGTATGAATGTAAGTTAGGGACATTAGATTGTATGCCCCTTGAGGGTTAGGGACTGATGTGAATGTACAATATATATGTAAAGTGCAGTGTAAATTCATGGTGCTATATAAGTACCTGTAATAAATAAATAAATAAATAATAACATGCTGGGGGTTTACTAGTTGTAGAAAAAAATGTCAAAAGCCAAAAACAGTCCATGTAAAAAGGTCAAGTGTGCATGAGGACTTAGCAATAAAACCTGTAAGGCTACTTTCACACTGATCCGCTGCAAAAATGCCTAAAAAATGCATAGGCGTTTTTTACTGCATTTTTACGTCTTTTTTAAAGGTCACGTCCAGGTCCATCTTGACTTATTTATAGCCCAGCTGAAAAACAGCAGATGGGAGAAATCCACAGCATCCTGCCTTTATCTAGACTGCCCTGTTTGTTGGGTGCACACCCAGAATCACTTGGATGAATGCTCTTGCTCTTTCAAGTCTCATGCATGTGCAGTGCTTTCTCTTTTCCCAACAACAGTAGCTCTGAACTCAGCAACTGTGGCACATGCATGGGTCTTGAAAGAGGGAGAGTACAGGGCATCCCACATCACAACGCAGGTCTCTCCTATTAGTAGTTTTTCAGGGTAAGCCGTGATGAGCCTACAGGTATGGCACATAACTACATGTAGCAAGTAATTGAATACAGGGGCGGACTGACCATTTGAGCACTCGGGCACTGGCCAGGGGTCAGTAGGGGGCCCCATGAAATGCCCCTGGTACCTTTTATAGGCTTTTTTTGGTGTGGGCAAGGACACAGGGGCCCCATGATCCCCTATTGCCCAGGGGCCCCATAAGTTGTCAGTCCGCCCCTGATTGAATAAAACTCCCAGTAATGCTATTACTAGGCTGCAGCTAGAGGGAGCTCTAATGATTTGCGGTGTGACTACAGGTGACTAACTACCTACAAGCTCACATTAAACTCTGAAAGAGCAAGTGAGCAACATGTATTTTCTGTTCTCCCCTTGATACAGGTTAGTCACACTTGGTTTATGCTATCTTTATTCAGTTTTGTGTTTGTTCTGACATCCACTTTCTCTGTTTAGTATCCTATATAAGAACTGTTCTATATACACACACTAAGATCTGTTACTGCCTTTAAATGTTATTAACAATCAGTTAAAGTGACAAATAATTATATATAATAACTAATAAATGTGACCGGCTGCCGCTCCAAAAAGGTTTTCAACCTCTAAAACTGAATAAATACACATATCAAGCACTACCTGATCAGGAAAAATTATAAATCACAAACACAACATCAATTCATCCATATCCATATGTTTGTTCTCATAAATAACCCCAAGTGCAAAAATAGTGCAGTATCCTAAAGTGCCATGCAATATTTCTTTTATTCATATGCAAATCCTCAGTGCTGTGTTCCCCACCAGTGATCCCCCTCACTCACTGACAGCTGTGATCATCAACTCTTATAAGTATCCTGGAACTTGTAGTCCTCCTCTCAGTGGCAATGTGTCATCATAGGTAGCGGTGTATCCTATATGTTAGTATTGGTAACTCTCTAAATAAAAGTTGATACATTTTTCCATGTGGCCTGCGCTGCCATTATAAAGAAAGTAATTATCTTTATAATGTGATCCATTTCTGTTTGACAAATTAAACTTGTAACGAACAAGTGAGCAACATGTTTTTCTGTTCTCCTCTTGATACAGATACGGCAGACTGCATCTTTGTCATACCTCGCACTCAGATCATCGATAATCCTGTAACATTCACATGTTTTTAAAAGTACTTGACTGCATAGTGTATTTTATTACTAAGGTGAATTTAGCCTGTAATTTCATGTCCCGGAAGTACAACAGGAAGTAATGTTTTGTGTTGTCCTTTGTATGACTGGACATTGACTTTCAGTGGCTTCAGTTCATAGAATATCTAAAAGAAACCTTACCTGAAAGTGGGGCTGAGAATGGCTCCCTTTCAATTGGAATGTGCAAGTTTAAAATGATAAGATATTAAAATGAATGAGCGTTATTTTGAAACAAACTGGATTTAGCCATACATTGTGAAATATTGAAGGATAAGGTAGATATTAGTAGACATAGTGTAATATTCAATCAATCTAGTCCCCAAATACTGTCTCAGGAAAACCCCTCTTCAAATCACTAGTGTTTGGTAGGTTGTAATCTTTGAAATGAATTGAAATAACCCAGTGCTCCCCATTACTGCCATCTATTCATCTTCCTTGGGGATAATCAAGATAATCCGACAAACCCTACTAGGCCATCTATTAACTCCACTTGAGTTGAATCAGGATAACCCAGCACTCCCCATTAGTTAATCTCTCCCAGAGATTAACCCCTTGATGCCGACGTAACATAAATATGCAGCCTCACAGAACTGGGCTTTTTTCCGTGGGGCTGCATATTTGCGTACCTGCCTTTCTGCTGCCAGCTCCCAGCACAAAGACTTTGGTGTCACTGGGAGCACCGGGTCCCGTTCTAACGATTGGGACCCGGGACTCCCAATTCCGAGTGACATGATCGCTGTGATAGCCTCTGATTGGCTATCACAGTGATCAGTCACTGTACAGCCTGGCCCCCTTGTTTTTTTTTTTTTCTCTCTATGAATGAAGGAGAGAGATACATTGTATTTCTCTAACTCCTGGCATAGAGGGGAAAAAAAAATGTTTGAAAAAAAAAAAAAAAAAGATAAATAAATAAATATTAAAAAATAAAAGAAAAAATAAAGAAAAAATACCTAGATCAAGGTTTGATCTAGTTCAGTGCCATGGTAAGTGTTTGGGTCAAGGTCAGGGTCAAAGTCAATAGGTCAGGGTCAAAGGTCAGGATTTAAAAAAAAATGGTATCAGTGGCAGTTAGTGTCAGTGTGTTTTAGGTAAAAAAAAAAAGACAAAAACAAAATATGCACTATTGTTTCTGGGCTGTACTATGGGTACAAACAACAAATAACATATGCATATATGGTATCGTCAAGAGCTGGAGAATTTATTTTGGGTTGTTCTTTGGTGGTAGGTTATGGTAGTAACAAGAAACACACAGCTAAATAAAAAATAATATTTTTTTTTTACTATTTTGAGCCAGTTTTCCTTTGATAATAAAAAAAATCAGGAGGTATCCATTACCATTTACCAACAAATGAAAGCTCAATTTGTCCTGAAAAAAACAAGGTATAATTCACCTGGATGTGCAAAGTAATTGTGATGATATGTACGGTTTTATTAACACAGGTTAACGTTGCAAAATTGTGCTTAGGCATTTAGATTTGTTTTACCCTTAGGTGTGAAGGGGTTAATCAACATGCTGCAGCACTCCCCATTACTTCTATCTATTCATCTGCTCCAGAACTGAACCTACAGTAGATACCCAAGCTTTCCCCATTAGTGCCTAGTCATCTGACTTGCCTGGAATAACAGAAGTGCTTGTTGAGTGAAGGATATTTTGGGGGATCAGCTACAATAATCAGATCGCTACCCTACCTTTACTGCCCAATAATCAAATCAATCTATCCACTGTCAGTCTGTTGCTCCCCTTGTGATAAATAGGACAGGTTATGTAGAGCAGTGCTATGCACACTAACAAAATATTATTCCAAGCCACAGTAGTTGTTTCTACAAAATGGAATTGTTTTTGTTTAACCACTTGTCCTCCAGAGGATTTAAACCC